CCATGGGACACCTGCGGCCACCAGACCTGGCAGAGGCAGGAAGGAACCTCCCTTGGAGCCTCTGGAGGGAGGGTGGCCCTGCTGCACCTTGACCTTGGACTTCTGGCCTCCGGACTGTGGGAGATTGAGATCCTGTTGTCCTAAGCTACCGGTTTGTGGTGGTTACGGCAGCCACATGAACTGACTGACGTGAGGCCAGTTACGTGCTGGACTGTTCTACGTGAATGTTCTGTGTGGTAAGTGCTGTTCTGTGAGGCGTCTCATTCACGACACACAACCACATTCTGAGATGGTGACCTCATCACGCCTGCTTGCAGAAGGGGAAACTAAGGCACAGGGAACCCCGCAGCTTGTCCAAGGCCATGCAGCCCTAAGTGGCTGATGAGGTCCATGTGCCTGCTTGTGTCTGTGCCACCCTGCAGCACGGGCACAGACAGCGCCTCTGGGGTGCTCTCAGGCTGTATGGACCCGCCGACCCCCAGGTGAGCTCTATTTAAACACATGCTCTTGAGCTTGTTTTGTATCACGATGGGCTGAGCTGCCCCAGAGCTGGAGGCCCTATGTCCAAACCTGACCTTGGGAGGCTCAGCTCCATGCAGTGGCTGGTTGGCTGTTTTCGGCCTCCACAATTGGCAGTTTCATACAGTTCAAACCAAAACCAGCTCTGCAGCCTTGGGGAGTTTAGTTTGCCTTCCTGACCTTCAGTTTCTTAGCCTGAAAGCGTGGGCAATGTCTTGATCACGTCTGGATGTGTCATGGGGACTCAGGGGAATGAGCACGTAGGGGGGAAACTGAGGAAGCAGGAACAGCACAGGACTCAGGAAGTTCCTGCTGGGAACCCATTTCTGTTCCCGTGGTATCCACGCCACCATCCTCTCTAGGCTTAGTACAAAATTGGCCTGACTGAGCCCAGAGAGGGGACACAAGTTTGCCCAGGTCCCCTGGGGTGGATGGGTCTTTCAGCCCTATGATCAGTTGCTGTACACAGAAGGGGCCCTGACCCTGGCCTGTCTGCAGAGGGGCTCAGTGGTGGGGCAGGGATTTAACGTGGACATTACTGTTATTCAGGGTTGGCGAGTCCGACAGGTCAGGAGAAAACTGCCATCAAAAAGATTGTTGTTATATCCCAGTTCCCAAGTGAGGGGGGCTTCTTTGGGAAGGAACGGCATGACAGGGTGGGTGGGCTTGTGGTTGGGGCTGGTGTGACCATTCCAGGGCTCTGGCCCCTGGCCCTTGGGCGATTAGGGCAGGGGACAGGGTTCCTGAGTGTAGTGCCCATGTGGGGGGTGGGCTACGGGCTCTGCACTGGTTGGTTTACATTGGAAAGGTGAGCTCTTGAACGTGAGATTTGCTGTCTCTGGGAAAAGGCTGGTCCTGGAAAGGCTCCAGACGCCAGTGCTTCAGACGCCAGTGCTCCAGACCACAGGAAACAAAGACATGTTCCACACAGGAGGACTGTGGCCGTGACCGGGCGGGTGGGCCCGGGCCAAGACGGCCCATTTTCCGCTTCCCCTGGCTCCTTCCTAGGCTGGGGTCTTGTGTGGCCGAGAGGAAGGGGCTCCTGAGTGGCTGCCTGCTTCCTCTTGCCACCGGGGCTGGGGACAAAGGATGCTGGTCTGGGGGTGCAGGCAGCACAGAGGTCAGACCCCCTGGCGAGCACTGGGCTCCGCCTCCTGCATCCTGAAGCCTCAGTTCTCCACAGATTGTTCTCGAAGCTTATGTGATATCACCCTGGTCACACGGTGATCCATGGCCCAGCACAGAGTAAAGACTCGCACGTGCTGGCTTTTATTACCTGTGGCTGCAGCAGGTTTGAGGAAAAATGCTCCTTTATTGAGTAAGCAAGCCCGCCGTGCTTTCGTGCCCATGCACAGGGCCCGGGAGCAGGATGGCCGTGGGAAACAGCCGCACGCTGTGAGGACCCGCCTCTCCGGAGGGGCTGCCATCCCAGGCCCCCACGGGCAGAGCGGGCACCAATGTGTTTCAGAGGTGGAAGATCCGGGCTCTGTGGAACAGCCAGGCAATTTCATGAGAACAACGGAAAACTGGGCAGACTTCACGCTTTAGGTGTGATATCTGGTTGTATTATTCCAGCTTCCGAGATAATGAAATAGCGGAGGGGTGAGCATGACCTTGTACAAGGAAAACATGACCAGGGAGACGATCGTCTACGGACTCGGCCTGGGCACGCTGGGGGTGGGAGACGGGTGTGGTGGGCGTCCTCCTGGGCTGCTGGCCACTGGTCCTGCTGCTGTCCTCATAAACACGGACGTGGAGCCCAAACAACGCTCCCTGTGGGTCCCTGGGGTGGGGGACGGGGTTACAGAGGCTGCCTGGAATGTTTGGCTGCCTGAGCCGTGACTCTGTTCCTGGAAACTCTACCCTTCCAGAGCAGCCCCAGTGGGCCCCTGGGGACCTGAGGGGACAGGTGGCCTCGGGTTACGCTCACCTCAGACCCTGAGCCACCTCTCATTCCCGGCCTGACTTGGGATGGGCTGGGGTCTGGCTTTGTCTGAGATGCCCATGGAGGGGCTGCCTCTGAGCACCTGGGCCTCAGGTCCTGCAGGTGAGGTCTGGGCTGAGGCTGGCTGGGGGTCCATGGCAGTCCCTATGGGTGTGGGGTGCAGGCAGGGCAGGGGCAGGTGAGGGTCAAGGCTGTCCTGGCCTGGCCAGAGCCTGGAAGCTCAGCTGCCCACTCGGAGGACGGCCCTTCTGGTCCCAATATCCTGAGGTCTCTGGACCACAGGATGGGGCTGAACAGGTAGATCCAGGGGAGGGACACCCCAGTAGCCCCTGGTGATGGGGCCATATACCCGTTGTTACACCCATGATGGGGTGGGGCAGGGCTAGGCCCAGTTTCTGTGGAGGCCCCAGAAGGGGCTGCATTTCTGGAACTCCTTGGGAAGGTGCCTCTTCTCCATGGGCAGATAAGGAGCAATTTAGAGGCACCCTTAAACCCCAGGACATGGAGGGCGGGCTCTCCAGTGCAGAGGGAGCATTCTGAGGGGCCCTGACCTGTCCACGCCCCAATGCCTCAGGGCAGGGGCAGCCCGTATGGGGCTGTGGGCACCTGAGCCAGCCCTGGTCCAGTGAGGCGGAGGGTATGGGGGTGGGCGGTGATCCAGAGTCACTTTCTGCCTCTGCCACCTTCTTGGGGTCTCCAACAGTTACTGAACCCCTCTGAGCATCGGCGTTCTCGTCTGCAAAATGGGGAACTTCCCCACATTATTGAAAGGGTTTCCTGGGCTGACACCACGTTGAGGTGAATGACTGTGAGCTTAATGTGCGCTGCTCCTCCTGGCTCTTCCTTGGTCTGGGGGACGTTTATGTCCAGGGGTGGAAGGTGGAGTTTGTGGACAGGCTGCTTCCCTCTCTGTTCTCATTTCTCCACAGTGAGTAAGTGGAGCTGATGACCGGGGGCAGTGGGCAGAGGCAGGGCCCCGCCGGGGGCTGTGAGGTGCACCTGGAGAGGTGGACTCAGCCCTGCCGGGGACGCTGGAGAGCCTGGAGTGAGGGCACCATGCCACCGGGATGCAGGCCCAGAGGAGCACACACCGGGGAGGAGGGTGGCCCAGACGACTCCAGGACGCTGGGTAGGGGCCCAGACCCTCACCCCGGCTCTGGAGGGACAGGTGAACTGTGGCTCAGACTGAACGTCCCTCCATCCCAGGCAGAGGCTCACACTGGACTTGGACGTGGAGCGTGGGTGACATAAACAGGCGCATGCTCCGACTGGGCTACGCGTTGCCGGACACGGCAGGCCAGGCGTCAGCTCGTGGGTTCTCGCCCTTTACAGATAAGGAGGCCGGGCAGAGAGCGCCGGAGGAACTCGCCCATGGCGCACAGTGGGGGTGGCTGCTGGGCTCCACGCCCGCTCTTCACCACCCGCATCTGTGAGTGGCGCTCCTGGATGGCAAGCTCCCCATTGTCTCTGTGCCCCCAGCCTGGCAATCAGGGGAAGCTTGTCAACCTGTTGTCAACCTGTTGTGTGGAGCCAGGAGCCTCCCAGGTAGGAGCCGCCTGGGACAGAGGCGGCGGGAGCTGTCCAGGTGCTGAAGCCCTGTCCCTGTCCCACCAGCAGTCAGGGCTGCGGGCTGGTGGTGGAGATGCTCTGGGTTTGGGCGGGACTGTAAGGACCCGTGCTCTCAGTGGCCTCTGCCCCACTGGGCACATCATCCTGACACCTGGGGGGACACCAGTGGTGGCCTGCTTTTCTGAAGTTCTGGGTGAGGCTGGCACCGTCCAGGCCTGAGTCTACAGCCGATGATCAGCCTCAGCTCCAGGGATTTGGAGAAGCCCGTTGTGAGCCCCTCCTGTCCTCCTCCACAAGGAAATATTAAATATGAAAGAACACCAGCACCTTGCTAGGGTAGGGTTCAATGTTTCTGATCAGCGTACAGGCTTGTCTGAGATATGATGCGTGGCTTTGTGACACCACCATGTGTTCCTGTGAAAACCTGACAATGATGTAACTGCCGGGATCAAGAAGGCTGCAGCCACACTGGACAGTCTGTGGGAGACCAAGCTTTGAACCGCCTTAGATTTGGGTGATTTTGGCAGAGAGGGGGCCCTGGGGAACCAAAGCGGGACTATCCTGTATTCCCTGGTGGGAGGTGCCTGCTGTTAGAAGGTCTGGGGGTGGGAGGAAAGATGAGCTTGAGGGAGAGGGGCCAGGCCTGCCCCCTTACCTGGTGGCCACTGTGACTGGGGGTCTCCCTGCTGAGACAGGGTGGGGAGTGGGCCACAGCAGCGGCTCTCAAAGGTTCCTGTGCGTGAGAATCGCTCGGGGAGCTTTCTCCCAAGTGCATGTGCCTGGGCCTCATCCTCAAGCCCCGTCATCCTGTCTGGACCTGCTGAGAACAGCCTTTTCAGCAGCCTCCCAGGTGAGCCTCATGCATAGGGAGCTGGCCGGGGGAGGACATGCCAGGTTATCAGCACGGGTCTCCTTCCAGGGTCTTGCTGAGCCCAGCCTCTCATCCCACCTGCTGCATGGCCAGGACCCCCAGGGCTTATGCTGCTATGTCCATAAGGCCCCTGCGGGAGGTCTCCCTTGTGGCCCCCAGCTCGGCCTCATCCCCCAGCGCCCGCTGCAGGACCAGCCGGAGGGGCTCGCGCAGCCTGCAGCCCCGGGTGCTGCCCAGGCAGAAGTAGATGACGGGTTTGGCCGCGCCGTGCATGCCGGCCAAGAGGAAGCTGAAGTGGTAGAAGTAGTGTGGGATGTGCCAGTGCAGGTTCCGGGACAGCCAGTAGATGCCGAAGGGCAGGCCACAGAAGAGGAAGAGGAGGACGGTGAGGAGGACAAGGGCGGGGAAGCCACGGGGCTGGTGCCGCTGGGGGCCGCGCTCCACCCGCAGCAGCAGGAGCAGGCTGGCCCCGCACATGGCACAGCACAGGACGGC